GTAGATAGATGGCGGCTGCTCCTGGCACCTGGGTGCTGGCTGCCACTCGGAGAGGACGCTGACGGCACTGGCCAAGATGGGGACCATGTGTCCCCAGAGCCAGCTGGCACTTTGGTGAGTGACAATGTGAAGGAGTGTGGGAAATGAGGGTCTGAGAAAAGGGCAGGGTCTGTTTGTTTATCACTGGGGGCCCTTACAGCTCCTATCACAATCCATCCTTCCATCTATTGTGTCAAGCACAATTTGTAGCTACGTTGCCATCATCATTTTCAAAACATCTTTTTTCTACTTGAGCCTTTGGTTGATCAGCTCTTCATTTTTTTCGCCTCCCTCATGAACCCTTCATAATTTATAAATTACTATTTTTCTCATGTCTTACACCGCCCGTTGTCTCCCTTCACCCACTTTTCTGTTGTCCGTCCCCCTTGGGGGGGGGCGGTTATATGTCGATCATTGTGATCGGTTTCCCCCACACACACACCTTCCCCTTATCCCCCTGGTATCGCTACTCTCATGATTGGTCCTGAGGGGTGGATCGGTCCTGGAGTCCCTGTGTTGGGAACTCTTATCTGTGGGCAGGGGGGTTTATGGAAACCTTGGGTGTTTCTGAGCAGAGTGGAAGTCTCGGCCTGTCCTGAAGCCCTGTCGGCTCCTCGCTCCCCATCCCCTTGGCTCCCCTCCCCCATAATTTGGAGCCAGCCCCCCTTCCCCCAGCTCAAATCCAGCCACTCACCCCTCCCCCAGCCCAGCAGGTCTCCTGCCCCTCCAGAGCCCCCAGTCCCTGATGGTGAGGGTGGTTCCTGCACCCAGGGGCAGAGGTGCAAGAAAGAGGTGAAAGGTGCCTCTGAAGTGGGAGGTGAAGGCTTAAGAAGTGAACAAGGACACGGCTACACCTGCCTGGTCTTGAGTGGGACAACCTGAACCCCAACTCACACCACCCAGGCCATTGTGACTTGGGTATCTTTACGGGCCTGGTGGAACTGCCACCGGGGGCTCCCGGCCTGCAGACCTTTCTGTGAGTGGAAAACCTCTTCTTTCTCCCGAGGACCAGCTGGTGGTTTTGAACCGCTGACCTTGGGCAACATTCACTGCCAGGAAAGATGCAGATGAGAGGGAAGTATTGAACCCCAGAGATTTGTGGGATTGAGGAGGACCGAAGGGGAGAGGCCTGGCTATGGGCAGGTTACATTCACCTACAGCACCTCACATTCCTGCCACCTTGGTGCCCATGGCTGCCTCGGGAAGTGCCACCCAAGGGTCACTTAAAAGAACAGCAAGTCTCCGTCTCAGCTCTGGGGGTGGGGAGTCCAGATCGGGGTGTCAGCTGTGCAGGGCGCCTTCTGAGCCCTGCGGGAGCCTGTGACCCGGGCCCTTCTCCCCAGGCCTGGGCGCTGCCACAGCCCCCAGCATCCCTGCCCAGCACCTGGCGTGCTTCCACACAGGGTCCTCTCCCGCTTGCGTCTCCCGATCTAGGCCACTCGGGAAGGAGGAGGGTTAGGATGGCCCCCTGCGTGGAAACTACGTGGCCCCGTCTGTACAGACAGACCCTGTGCCCCATAGTCAGCCAGACTCACAGACCTTGGTGAGCACCGATGGACCCCATAAACGCCACTGCCCTTCACTGCCCCCAGCATATAAGCCCTTGGTCTTTTGCTGGTCAGTAGGCTGCATTTGCCTTTGCTGCGTGACTTACGTCAACAGCTAGGTGGCGGCCAGGTGGGGAACTAAAAGGGAGGAGAAGAGGGTGGGACTCAGAGAGGCGTGAAGGGCCCAGGCTCAGCCTGGGGGTGGGTGGGGACTTGATATCTGAGGGGCCGAATCTAGTGGGAACCCCCATCCACTTGCCCTGTTCTCCACCCGGCACCCCCACACCGAGGTGTGTCACACAGCTTTGGGACTGCAACCCCCAGCACAGAACCAGGGCACCGTGGGGACACCTGCTCACACTGAAGGCCATCGGCCATCGGCCCTGGGCCCGCTCACTCAAGACTTGTGCCCAGAACACATAGACTGTGGCCTTCGAACCCCAACGCCTCGCAGAGCCTCCTTGTCTCTGAATCTCACATCCTCTCTCTCCCTCTCCCCAAAGGAGCTGTGGCGTCCCGGCAGCTGAGCGCTCTGCTGCTAAGCAAAACGTTCTGTGTTCGAGCCCCCTCCCTCCCCACAGCTCCTTCCGGGAAAAGCCAGGCGAGCTGTTCCCATAAAGATTAAAACCAAAACCTGCTTCCAGTGGGCTGACTCTGACCCTTAGGGACCCTGGGTGGGGTTTCCGGGGTGAACTTTCATGGGAGCAGAGCGCCTCCTCTTGTCTCTCAGAGCGGCTCCTGGATTCAAACAGCCAACCTTGAAGCCAGCAGCCCAGTGCCTAACCAGTAGTGCCACCAGGAGCAGTCCCATTCTGTCTCGTGGGGCCCCTGGGAGCCGGAGCAGCTGGAGGACAGATCACATCCAGCATTTCCCCTCGGTGTTTGGGGTACCATCTCTGGTTGGTGGCAGTGGCCGGTCTTAGAGGCCTGACCAGCTGCTCAGACATGTGGGACAGTGTGGGCGAGTGCCCGGTGGCTCCTGGCAGCTGCGCCTCACACAGAGGCCTCTTCATGAGCACGTGTCTGTGCTGGGTGCTCCCGGGTGGTACGAGGCTGGCACTGACTGGCCAGCGGTCCTTCCCTCCCCACCCCCCAGCCTCCCTGCCAGAGCCCGCCCCAGACTTCAGGGATGGCTGTGCACAGGCTGAGTGACCACAGAGTCCAGCGATCCCACTGCTGGACATGGGCCATGGGAGCTGAGAGCACTTGTCCACATAGACACCTGCGCCAAGAGTATGAATGGGTCAGACGCAGGAAGGGGTCGCTGGCACCTGCTCTGCTCCCCAGAGCATGTCACCAAGAGAAAGAAGCGGGCCCTAAAGTCCACATACCACGTTATTCCCCCTCGATGCGATTCCGGCCTTGGCAAATTCATGGGGCAGACAAGGGACCAGGGTGTCAGCAGACAGGAGGGCCAGGGATAGGGAGTGGCTGCTGATGGATTGGGCTGTTTGGGGGGGCAATGAAAGGTTCTGGAGTTAGGTCATGGGGAGGCTTACACAACTCTGAAGAGCGTAAAACCCATGGGAAGAATGACTTATTCAGCCGAGTTTCTTAAACTGGTTTGCA